ATTAGAAGCTTGAAATGGATAAGCCATTCCTTTCAATATAGGAAACAGAAGTCACCTAGTGAAAAGAACATGTGTGGAATTTAGCACCTGTAGCATCTTCCTTCAGCCCCCATCTATGTAATTTGTGAATTACTACATGAATTACTAAAAATATATACAATGGGTACACATTAAGACCTAACAAAGAACAACAAGCCAAATACCACAAAGGGAGGTCAAAAAAACTTAAACGTTTTATTTCTGTAATATAAAGGGATTTGTCCTCAATCCTGATGGGTTACAGAAGATGAACTTCTAGAACACACTTAGCTGTGAAGAGTCACCACATTAGACTCCACACTGGCCAGCCAAGCATTTCATTTAAGGAAGATTTTATCCTACTTGCACAAGTGTTCAGGGCCTCATAATTTTATTTGCAGCATAGATGCTGACTTTAATTAATAAAGTCTTAGATTCTCTTCTATAATCCACATGTGATGTCTTATTATGAGACTCCAGCAGACTTCCTAGAACTGAACTTCAGGAATAATCTTATCTAATAAGGTTCTGTCTCCAAAACCTATTTCCCTTTCAGGTCAACCTTATGATTCACTTGTCATTTACCAAATAACAAATGAATGTTAACAGGAGAAGAGAGGTCAGAAGATTTGACGTTGGATTAATACATCACTAACTATTAAGATCTATTATTTATTTCAAATGTAGTTACCAAATGTAAAATAAATTCACTCACTAAATACTTCACAAAATAATATTTCTATGGAAAAGGTTAATAAATGTCAATGAAGAATAAAATGTTAATAAAGAAAAGCATGAAAATACACCAAGGTCCCAATCCCATCTACCTACCATTAACCAATTTGTTTTCTTGGGCAAGTCACTAAACCAGTTATAAGGTCACTTTATATAGTACTAACCCACTTTTTCAAAAATGATCACATCTGAAAAACAATCCTCTGAAACAGACAAAGCAATAATCACATTCATTTAACAAAAGGAACAGAACAAAGACTTACAAAGCTAAATGACCTGCTCAAAATCATCTAGGAAGCTGAAATACTGATGAACCCATGATTTCTGACACTAGAGTTAGTGCTCCTTCCTCTATATCCATGGTTCTTAGTGGCTATTGCTCACTGAATATGCTCACTCTCAAGCATTTAATATTTTATGTATAATTTTAGGGAATTCACAGTCGCAAGGCTTACAATCAAGCAGTAATAACTGCAGCTAAATCTCATGTGCTAACAGCAGCATTCTAAAAAAAGTACTAGCATTATTCATTCTCAGGTAGGCCTTACACTTAATCTTTTTCACTTATCCATAATGGTATTTACTTGTTAACAAAAACTTAGATGAAAGCATTACAGGTGACATTTCTGAGAGTGAACAAAAATCAAAGTTGGCAGAGTTGTTTACTATGCATTTCATTAAAAAATGTATATAGCATCTAAATATTTCAAACATCATATGTTTTGGACATTAGGATGTAAGTTTGTAAATAAACACTGTTTCTATATACTGTAATTTTACTTGATTTCCTTTATTGGAAGAAAAAAATCCCATTTCTTGAACTAACTGCTATGGTCAATAAAGGTCCAGTGATGCCATCTTGTGATGGTTACCTTCTATTAAATAAGTATAGAAAACAATCACATTATCCCCAAAGAGGTGGGTAGATAATCGCTAAGCAAAATAAGCACTCCTCCAAACATGTAAAGAACACGTGTCACTATATGCAGAGTCCTGAAGTAGAGTCCAGAGACACAGACTGTGGTCTGGCTCTGCTACCCAGATGACTTTAAGAAAACCATCTTAGAGATCTACACTTCAATTTCCTCACGTGTAAAATGAATGGGGCAACTGAAATCCAAGGATAGTACTGTTCAGGTTTAAAACATCTGTAAATCTATAACCAGAAGACAATGATAATCACCCCAGAAAAATTATTAGAGTACTTACAGGCAATTGCCAAAGTAAAGGTATTTTACACACACACACACACACATGCAACACTGTGTGCCAAATATTAGGTGGTGGACTGGGACCAAGATACGAAGTATCTGGGATTTGCTAGACAATTGTATAAAGAAAAGGGTAAAACAATATTCTCCAGAATAGCAGCTATGGGTAGGAGATGTTTAGTCTACATAACTGCCTTGAGACTGGAAGGGCAAGGGAGAATGAATATTCATAATAATAACCATTATACAATAAGGTTTCACAAAACAGGGTGTTACGTGAAGAAAGTCACACTGTAAGTAAGCATCCAAAACAGAGACAAGAGTGTTGTCTTTGTAGCCACTACACCTAGCTCAGCTCATAGTAGCACAACAGGTAACTAATAAAATGTTAGATGACCATTTACTGATGTACTGCTAACTAGTTAATCCATTCTCTGGTAAACGCTGACTCTGCTCTTAAAAAGTGAGTTCACAGATAGTGAGAAAAAAGAAAACACCGTATGGGACAATGTGATAAGAGTCCACTGCATATGAGGTGCACTGAGTGAGACCATTTGGATAATCTGGCAAGAAGACTTCCAAGCATACTTATTAAATATACCTGTATGTTAGACATTCTACATACTTTAATCCTCCAAAAAACCTCTTAGTTTCACTATCCCATTTTACAGATGACAAAACTGTAGCTCACCAAGATAAAGCAATTTGCCAAGGGTCAGACAACTAAGGTAAGGCCAGAAATAAAAGCAGGATCTAATTCCAAAGCTATTTCCACCATACATACCAAAATGTCTTTGACTTTTATATTTTATCTTTACATTTGAGGTGGAAGTAGAATGGGGACTGTCAAAATCAGCCAAAACTGTTATCCTGAATGAGAATGAAGAGAGCATCCAGGACTTACCGAAGTATTTCACTTGTGAAAATTTGTCTTCACTCATAAAAATCAGAAAACTAATTTTTTAACATCTGCATGTGTATTTAATGTAACGCTTCTACATTTGGATCTATACAAGGTTAGGTCTAAAAGAAAGTGTTCAACATGACTGATGAAAATAACCAGTAATCATTTAAGAAAATAGACTTGTAAATATTTCAATTGTTTGGGTTGAAAATTTTAGGTATGATCCATAGTTTGGGATATTCCACTGAGTACATATTGAGAGAATCAGCAAATTATTCGATTTTTTTCAAGGGAGAGAGGGTCTTTTTTCCCCCCCTTGGAAAGGAGAAGGAAAAGGTCATTTACAAATGATCTCAAGTTTAAAAAATACTACCGATTAAATGTTATATGTCAAAGACACTGTAGGTACCCAATAAATCTTGTTAAATGGACTGAACTAGTGGGAAAAGAATGCCTTCCTTACTCTTCTGACTACTAAGTACCTTTGCTTATTTTTTAAGCCATGAAAATAAAGTGTAGAATTTGAGATAAAATAAAAACAGCTGACAAAACATTTGAAAAGGAATCAAAACGCTGTAATTTGTATCTCTGTGTAAAGCTAATCTCCTCAGGAACCCAGGCAATATCCAGAGGATGATGTACACACTTAGCACACTAATGCTAGTTAATAATTATTGACACAGTAAGACTTTCTTAGTTTATATTCTAATTTTTTAAGTAGAGTCATTTTTTCCTGAAGCTATTTCTTCTTTTTGTCATGACTATTAATTTCTTTAAAAGGCTTCTGGTCATCATTTGAGTTATGAGCAGCATCATTAATATTACACACATTTCCTTAAAAATGTAAATAGCTCAAATTTAGAAGCAGGATTAATTCCAGTCATTTCCACTACAGATCCCATGACAAAACTTTTTCTCTTCCCAAATGCTAAACTTTTTTACATGGTTTACAATATAACGCCTTAAGGGTACTTTAAATAGTCAGAGGTGTGAGGTAAACACCCTTCCAATTCATTCAACGAGACTTATTGGGTACATACAGTGTCTTTGACATAACTTTTAAATAGTTGTACTTCCAAACTTTAGGTCATTTCCATTTCAAGCCCTCTTCTCTCACCCCCAAAAATTCTGCAATAATTTGTTGCTTTCCTCCATACTGCACACAATGGAATTATCCAAAATAATGGGTCATATCCATATTTCTTCATGACTGACTGAGGGTAACTGTGGACTGTAAACCCATATTGCTTTTAGTTTACATTTTCAACAGCACCCTAGCCACTTAATGTAATCTCTAATTCGTAATGATTCTATTTTAGCATACCCATAGAACGTTTTAAAAAACTCACAGCCTAAATTATCTGTCAAAGATTCTAAGCTTAATCAAACAGCGTCTATGTTAAAATTATTCTAATAATTTTATGGACTAGAGCATCTGCCACATTCAGTTCTGACTTTACCAACAAAAACCTCCACACCATGACGAGGAAAGCGTCCTTTTCATTTTCTCAACTGAAAGGAGAAAAAAAAGGCTAAGTGTTTGCAGGTTTGCATTTCGGAGAATCTCTGGCAAACCCTGCAGCTCTCGTTTAATTTCAGAATCCCAAGAAGTAATCTGTGAACACAACCCTTGGGCTTGATTTATCACTTCTTCCGCCCGTCCTCTCTACCAGTCCACCCCAAAAACCCCAACCCACCAAGGCACACGTCTAAATAATTTCCTCACCAAGGCCAAAACCTCGAACACTAAGAAAAAGCTCATTTTGGAAGGATCAGGCCAGCCCTTGCCAGCCTGATGCCTAGGCTGGCTCGGCGAGCCCCGCTCCAGGAGGGCCAACTCTCGAGGCCCCGCTGGCCCCGCCCCGCCCCGGGCCCGCTCGTGTCCCCTCCGGCGACAAACCCTCCCTCCGGCACTCAGCCAGGACTGACAGTTACAGCAGCAGCAGCCGCTGCTACCAGAAGCCTACGTCTGGCACCAGCCCCCTCCAGACCATGCGCCCCCAAACCCAGGGGGGGTGGGGCATCCCTCCCCTCGAGGGAGCCGGCCCCAAAGGGTGGCTCGGGCAACAGAGGGGACGAGGGAGCTGGGGCCCGGCCGCCCGGGCCCAGGCCCCGTCCTAGGCCACACTGACCTGTCGTGGGCCCCGCGCCTGAGCTGCGGCCCTCGCAGCGGCGGCTGCCTCACTAGTCGTCGTCGCCCTCGCCCGCCGCCTCCGCCCGCCACCGTCTCGTTCCCTTTCGCTGCCGCCACCGCCGGGGCTCATGCGGGACCCGCGCTTCCTTCTCCGGAGACCTTGGCCGGGAAAGGTGGCGCCGGGGCCGCAAAAAATCCCGCGCTCGTCGCCAGACGCTGCTCCGCCACTGCCTGTCCACACCGGGAGTCTGCGAGGCCTGCCTGCCCGCGGCTAAGCTCCGAGCTGCTCCGAGCGCGGCCCCGAGGAGGAGCTGAGGGAGGTGCCGCCGCCCGCAGCCGTGAGCGCTGGGTCGGCAGAGGTGAAGCGTAAGTCGGCGGCGGCGGCAGATGGCAAGCGCCCGGGCTGGCGGATGGCTACGCGGCAGCGGGGTGCGCTAGCCAGAAGAGAGCGGCGTGGCGATGAGGATTCTGGCGAAGAGGATTCAGGCTCTGTCGTCTTAAGCAGTCAGCCCGAGCACAGAGCCACCATCTTGAGAAAAACGCGGATCTCGCGGCCGCAGCGCAGGCCGGGAGGACTAGCTGGGCGGGCCGAGTATCCCGGCAGGCAGCGCGCGCCGCCGGGGCTGGCGAGAGCTTCAGGCCGGAACGCGCGCGGGAGGGTGCGGCGTTGTGCCCCGCCCATCTAGAGCCTCCGCCCCCCTCCTGCTTGCCGTCGTCGCCAGCGCCGGGGCTGTTGGGAAGGTGAAGTTGCCTGCTGTTCGTCGGAGGTCCAGCAAGTTCTATCGCCATCTTGAAACAGGGAAAAAGGAGCAATACCTAATTAGAGCCACGGCTGGCTGTGGCACGACAGAAAGAAGGGGGTACACTCTGGGAACGCCTTGAACCTTCCTGCTCTACCCAGTGGTGGAACGTGCGGGAACTTGGATGCTTCCGGTTTGGTGGGGAACGAATCTGCTCCGAAAGTCCGCGGAAGAGGCTGTGATAGCCCCAGCCTCGCGGCCAGGCAGAAGCCTCCGGATACTAGGTCCGACCCCAACCCCTTTTCTCCGGGAGCTGCCTTTGTAAACATTGCAGAGGTAGCCCGAGAGTGTGGGCCAGCTTTCAGGGGACCAAGGTCATCTGCTTAGGCCTCTTGCCAACACATAATGTGTCAGTAGTTAACGAGAACGTAAAAGCCCGTCTCCTGCAGTTTCGACGTTTGGTGGGTTCCCGGGAAGGAGAAAGTGGCCTCTTGGTTGGCCCCAGCTGCATGGAGGCTAATTTTGACCCATATGACAACTAAACCTATTTAAAGCACTGCGCCTTCATATTTAGTACCAAGGTCACCATTTTTTGAAAGGGGTTTTTTATGGCTCTGCAACACTTACTAGCAAAGCTGTAACGGAATCACTAACGGTTCATAGTTTTACGGTTTCCAATTTAGCTAGTATATGCTACATGAGATCTCATTTATCTAGTATTCAAACTTTTTTGTATCAATAATAGTACATAGTGTATTTAACTGTCATAAAATACGTAAACAACTGTAAGAAACCGATGGAATTTAAGTTATCCTAGGATAACTGATGATAAATGACAGTATTAAACATGTCCAAATTTTAACTCAGTTCCATTTTTCATTTACCCGCTTACAGATAATTTGGAAACTGCAGGTATGTTTTATGGAAGAGACTAATTAAACTCTTAAGTCTTTTACTTATCCTTGCATATAATCAAACTAGACAAATGAGAATGAAAATCTTTAAAGACTTTGAGTAATTAAAGCAAAATATTACCACAGTATCTAACATGTAGATACATTTAGCTATTCTACTTCCTTTTAAGTAGAAATTGAATATATGAAATGTTACTTTATAATAACCTGGTGTACTTTTTTATTGTGGCAAGTCCCTGAGTTCCAAAATATTAGATAGAATGAAGAGAAATAAATCTACTCTTAGTTAAGTGTCAAGTGACTGTCTATTTCTTACTAAGGACAAGGAGGATCCCACTTCCTCCCTTGGAATCTGGAAAATTACTCATAGCTCTTTAAGTTCATTAATATTAAATAGGTATTCTTATGTGTAACAATAGTGTCAGACTTGATTTAGGAAGCCACTGCGTTCTTTGCTTTATCGGTTTTCAAATTTTAGATGTTTGCTGCTAAAAATTCTCAACACAAATATTGTCAGGACTCCTTAGAATGCAGGTCGTGTTCCACCTCCATATACGTAAGTTTCTATGATTATTTTCTTCTCCCAAATCAGATGCATATTTTTCTTCAGGTATGTTTCCTCAGAAAAATAACCTAATATCTACTAAGTAGGAATTTGTATAAATTCTTTGGGCCATTCTAATCAAAATGGAATTCAATAGTTTCTAATAATTTTCTTATTTCAGGTGTAAAATGAAAGGCCCAGTTTAATCTTTTCACCATAATGAATGAATTCCTTAAACTGAACTTCTGTTTGACCAGAACTGTGCCAACTTTGGGAAACAATAAAAGCTCAACAGTCCCTATTTCTGCCCTCAAGAACTGACTGTCCAAGTGGAAGTCACACCTGTAAAACTGGATACTTTTTCAAGAAAACCCAGCATTTCAATAACTATGGGAGTACTTACTAAAATATACCTGCTAATACTCATATAACTTTCTTTTAATGAGACATTTTGCCCCATATATCTGATAAAATAGAGTTTTTTGATAAGGTGTTTTGGTGCTCAAGATTTCTTGTTGATTTGAGTCACAACAGATGAATCCAAATGCAAAAAATTTTTATTACCTAGCATGCCCCCAGGATCTGGAGTAAGCTAAGACTGTGGACCACAAAAGTATCAGATTTGGTAGGATGAAGTTTACTGTTGCATTTTTTATTATATCAGAATTACTCAGCTGTTGAAACACAGACTAAGCTTTCAGTGTATGAATAGCTCTCAGTGTCTAAGAAATTCCGTTGAAGCAAAATTAGCTCCATGAAGAGCATTGTCTAGCATATATTAAGTGCTCAATATATGTTAGTGCTTAGTAATAGTAGTTACACACCAGGCATGAACACCTTCACGCCTCCACCCTTATTCCTCCAAATGTGGCTAAATTTGCACTCCCCCTGATCTGTCTTGAAGTATGAGCCATCTTTCCTTTCTATAGCTGATTATTTTTTGGAGGGGATCTCCTCAAGACTCTTAATCCCTCAGTCATTCCTTCTCTTGTGCATTAATTTCTCTACAAACTTTGTCACTTCTGTTTAGAAGAGCTGTGTTTGGATTGCCATTTCCTCCCAAGTACCTCTTCAACTACCGAAAATTAGCATTTTCTCCCACTTTTACTATATACATTGCTTGTATTAATGTCAGTAACGGCATAATGGCCAAGTCTAAAGGTTGATTCTCAGTTTTCGCTGGTATCTGACTTTGCAGCCTTTCGTAATGCTAACCACTGCCTCCTGAAGACCACTCCCTTAGTTCAATCACACTGCATTCTCTAGTCTCTCCTGTGTCTCTTCCTGGACCACTCTTCTTCAGTCTTTCTTGCAGAATGCTCTTCCCCTCCATCCTTGGTTCTTTGCCCACTATATTACACAGTCCCTGACAGTACTATTTACATATACTCCTCCTCTATCACTTATTCCAATCAGGGATCAAATCTGAATTTTGAACCCTGACCCTACTAAAATTTCAGACATGTATCTTCAACCCCTTATTAGAAATTTGATTTGGATGTTCTACAGGAACCTCAAATTCGACATGTCTAAATTTGAACCGCTGAACTTGTCCCAATTTCCACCATTACCTGAGATGGTGGTAATTGTGCATAGAAGAAGTTTTGGAAGAACAAGCAGAAACTGAGTTTTGGTAGTGTTAAAGTTGAGATGCCTATGTATCTGTAGCAGACACCTCAGTAGAGATTGATTGCTAGATGAACCTTAGTATGCATTCTCTTCATTCATGACAATGGAATATCTATCTAGACACATGATGACCTATAATAAACTCATTAGTGTGGCCATGTGACAAAGTTCTGGCCAATGGGATGTGAGCAGAAATGTGTACAACTTCCAGATCATATTCTGAAAGAAAGGGGATCACCTTTCCCTGTGTTCCTTTCTGATGATTGGGGTTGTGAGCTATGTTGGAGGACTGACATCAACAAGGCAGGCCACTGAGAATTTCATGGGTCAGAGTCTATATACCAGCTTGAACTTTCATGTAAGACAGCTAACTTCTATAATCTGCTGTGGTTATTCTAGATAACTTTTACTATAGCTGACCTTGTATCCTAATATCCAAGTGAAGAAATCAAGGAGTCAGTTGGATTTGGGTTTCTGGAGTTAAAGGAGAATGAAACCAACACATCCTATATTCTTTGACTTGATGGATGACTCTACTATCAGCAGCGGTCCCCAATAATAATAACATTAGTAATCCTAGATTTCATCCTCTATCTCACTGTCCTGGCAGTTAGAAGCAGAGTCATATGTCCTTAAGGAATTGGTTTTAGGATTAGGTAGCATAACAAAAGTGGTCAAGAACACAGGCTTGCAACTTTTTAGCAAGTGTTAAAGTACCCAGCAAAATCATAAACCGCTCTCTGATTTAGTTTTCCCATCTGTAAGATGAGGTTGTTATGAGGATTAAATGTTAATATACATAAAACACTTAAAATAATGTTAACCACATAGCATATGTTCAATAAAAATGAGCTTTTTCATCCTATGCAAATACCAGTCCTGTCCCTTATAAGACAGAACTGTTAATTAAACCTTCAGTTAATCTGTTTTCTCATCAGAGAAGTGGAAAAAATAGTAATACTGACCTTATAAACCTTCACTGTAAGTACTGTAAGCCTTCATTCATCCATTCAATGCATTTTTTATTAAGGTATCATTGATATACAATCTTATAGTCAGGTTTCACATGAGCAACCTTATGGTTACTACATCTGCCCTATTATCAAGTCCCCACCACATAACCCATTACAGTCACTGTACTTCAGCATAGAAAGATGCTGTAACTACTTGCCTTCTCTGTGCTATACTTCCCTGTGTTCTCCCTATATTATCTGTGCTACTCATAATGCCTGTTAGTCCTATTATCTCTCTGTTCACACCCACCCTCTCCAGTCCCTTTCCCTTTGGTAACTGTTAGTCCATTCTTGGTCTCTGTGAGTCAGCTGCCATTTTGTTCCTTCAGTTTTGTTTTGTGCTTATACTCCACAGATGATTGAAATCATTTGGTACTTGTCTTTCTCCACCTGGCTTATTTCACTGAGCATTATACCCTCTAGCTCTATCCTTGTTGTTGCAAATGGTAGGATTTGTTTTCTTCTTATGACTGAATAGTATTCCATTGTGTATATGTACCACATCTTCTTTATCTGTTCATCTACTGATGGACACTTAGGCTGCTTGCATATCTTGGCTATTGTAAATAGTGTTGCGATAAACATAGGGGTGCATATGTCTTTTTGAATCTGTGATCCTGTTTTCTTAGGGTAGATTCCTAGGAGTGGAATTCCTGGATCAAATGGTATTTCATTTTTTGAGGAACCACAATACTGCTTTACACATGATTGAACTAATATACATTCCCACCAGGAGTGTAGGAGGGCTCCCCTTTCTCTGCTTTCTAGCCAGCACTTGTTGTTTTCTTCTAGATATTGGCCATCCTAACTGTTGTGAGGTGATATCTCACTGTGTTTTTAATTTGCATTTCTCTGATGATTAGTGATGTGGAGCATCTTTTCATATGCCTGTTGGCTGTCTGAATTTCTTCTTTGGAGAAGTGTCTGTTCAGATCCTCTGCCCATTTTTTAATTGGGGTATTGGCTT